AATAATGAATGTTGGAGAGGATGTGGGGAAACTGGAGCTCTTATACACTGCTAGTGGGAATGTAAAGTGGTACAACCACTACAGAAAACGGTATGGCATTTCCTCAAAAAGCTAGAAATAGAAATACTATATGACCCAGTAATTCCACTCCTAGGTATATACCCTAAAGAAGTAAGAGCTGTGACATGAACAGACATATGCACACCCAAGTTCACTGCAGCTTATCCACAATAACAAAAAGGTAGAAGCAAGCTAAGTGCGCATCAACAGATGAATGGATTAACAAACTGTGGTACATACACACAATGGAATACTATGCAATGATAAAGAATAATGATGAATTCGCCAAACATCTCATAACATGGATGAATCTGAAGGACATTATGTGGAGTGAAGTAAGTCAATCATAAAAAGCCAAATATTGCATGAGACTGCTTTATAAAATAACAACAAAAGGTTTACAAACAGGGGAAAAAAAAAAAAACTCTTTGATGGTTACCAGAGATGGAGGGGGGAGAGAGGGAAAATTACCAAAGAGATAGTAGACACGAGTTAATACTGGTGAAGGGAAAAGCAATACACAATATGGAAGAAGTCAGCACAACATGACGAAGGCAAGAAAAGACACTGACAGGAATGCAGAAATAAAGGACAACTATGGTAACTACTGGAAGCCTTGGTGGCGCCAGTGGTTAAGCGTTTTGGCTGCTAACCAAGAGGTCAGCAGTTTGAATCCACCAAATGCTCCCTGGAAACCTTTTGGGGCAGTTCTACTCTGTCCTATAGATCACTGTGAATCAGAATCAACTTGATGGCAATGGTTTTTTATGGTAATTACTATTCCATAGACGATCCTGCAACAATAGAATCAACAAACAATAATCTATAAATGGACACATAGAGAGATACGCCAAGAGATGAGGGAGGGGGGTAAGGGAAAACACCCACTGGCAGATACAGGTTTGGTGGTGGAAATTTCTCAATACATGACTGTAGGTGCTCCTCATATATTAATATAGACAACAGAGCACACAAGTGGCATACTCAGGGAAACCTCTTAGACAGAACTAAATACTTCATGGGATAAAGTTCCCAGGCTCAAAGGCAGAAGGACCACAGACCTCTTTCAAGTGGCACAACATAGTTCTTAAAGACAATGTTCTACATCCTACTTTGGTGAGTAGCATCTGGGGTCTTAAAAGCTTGCGAGCGGCCATCTAAGATACAACTATCAGTCTCTTCTAGTCTGAAGCAAAGGAGAACGAAAAACAAAATTAAAGACTCAAGGGAGCAATTAGTCCAAAGGACTAATGGACCACATGAACCACAGCCTACACGACCCCAAGACCAGATGAACTAGATAGCGCTCACTTACCACAACCAATCACTCTGACTGGGATTACAACAGAGAGTCCCAGATAGGGTGGGATAAAAATGAAGAACAAATGATTAAATTAACAAGACCAGACTTACCGGTTTGACAGAGACTGGAGGAACCCCTGAGACTATAGCCCCTGGACACCGTTCTCACTAAGAACTGAAGCCATTCCAAAAGTTCACCATTCAGCCAAAGATCAACCAAAACCAAAAATTGTTGCCATCAAGTCAATTCCAACTCATAGCAGCCCTACAGGACAGAGTAGAACTGCCCCACAGTGTTTCCAAGGAGCGGCTGGTGGATTTGAACTGCCAGTCTTTTGGTTAGCAGTCTGAGCTCTTAATCACTGCACCATCAGGGCTCCAGACAAAGACTAGCAGGACTATAAAACAAACAATAATACATGTGAGAAATGTGCTTCTTAGATCAATCAAGTTTACGAGATCAAATGGGCAACACCTGCCCAAAAACAAAGACGAGAAGGTGGGAAAGGACAGGAAAACTGGACTAATAGAACCAGGGAACCCAGGGTGGAATGGGAAAGTGGGACAGTGCTGAAACAATGCAGGATTACAACCAATGCCACAAAACAATTTGTGTATAAATTTTTGAATGAGAAACTAATTTGCTCTGTAAACTTCCACCTAAATCACAATTAAAAAAATAAATTTGATTAAAAAAAAAAAAGGTGTATTCTTACAAAACTGGTGGAAAAGAGAGACCGATATTAAAGTTATAAATGCTATCATTAGAAGAAACAATAGCTCTTTACTTTTTTACAGGGCTTCAAACCAGTTCTTCCTGGTCCAATCATGGCCTAGGAAGCTACACTGGAACAGACTCAAATTTTTTATATTTGGGTGACCTGGAACCATAAACTCTGGGTCAAAGCCCTACTAGAAACTTAATCTCTCTCTTAGAAAACAACGGCAGTGTAGGCATTGCATGGCAACCGAATCTCTTGCCAAATCTCAAAGATGGCGGCCAAACACACAGCTTTGAATGTGTCACTCTCCTTGGTCATGGCAATAATCCAATCTCACTCATCAGGCTCCTGAAAGGGCTCACTACACATGCCTCTTCCAAGTTTTCCATTCTAGGGCGTCAACCAGTAATTTTTCCCTTTCCGGTTATGGTTTCGGATCACCCAAATCTTAAAAATCCGGTTCTATTCCAGTTTCGCTTCAGTGGCCATGACTGAACTGGTTCGAACCCCTGCTTTTTTTGTTACCACATGTGCATATTGCTCTGATCTTTTTTTTCAAATAACAGATTGGATAAAAGAGCCACAATAACTATTTTATATTAAGAACTCATTAAGAAAAGGTACAAAGGATATGAAAAGGCAATTCACAGAAATGTAAATTAAAACCATCAGTTAATATTTTCTTTCTCAGACTAATGAACATTTTAAGGTTCAGAACACTGTCAGCAAGGGTGTAAAGAAAGTGATAATTCAGTCTTGGTACAAAGATAAACTCATATAACCTTTTTTAAAACAACGTAGCATTATTTATAAAAACTGTAAATGCCTATGCTCCAGTCCAGCAAACCCACCTAAAAGAAAGGAGCAAGCTCACTTTTAGGTTAGATTGTTAGGTTAAGAAAGGAAAAAGGAAGGAGATACAACACGGAATAGGGAAATTGGTAAACAAACTGATGAAGTCATATTAGAGAATACTATACACAATAGTTTGGAGCCCCGGTGGCCCAGTGTTTAAGAGCTTGGCTGCTAAGCAAAAGGTGGGCAGTTTGAATCCACCAGCTGCTCCTCGGAAACCCTACAGGGCAGCTGTACTCCATCCTATAGTGTCACTATGAGTCAGAATCGATTTCACAGCAAACGGTTTGGATTCTTTTTTTTTTTTTGGTTTATACAATTGTTAAACTCACAGCATGCTGCTGAAGAAAAAGACCGCAAATTACAGAATAAAGTGGAACTACTGTAGGAAGTGGAAACGGCATGAATATGACTCACCATTTTTCTTCTAAAATAACACTTATATTTCAGTTGTGCATTAAAGTTTACTGACATAAGAAAGCACTATTTTTTAAAAATTAAGTATTTCTGAGCAACAATTTATATCAAGTTTAAAATCTCCCACCTTTACCCCCTTACTAACAATCCCTTTTTGTAAAGATATAGACGAACCAATCTGTTAAAAGATACCATCAACAGGCATTTTAAAAAGAAGAAAGCAGAGAAAAAGTTATTTTTAAACTGTCAATAGTGGAAGAGTCAAGATTAGAAATAAGGTCCCTGAAATTCAAAACTGTTTTGCTTTACATCGCATTGGACTGACAATTTTCAAGAAATTATACCTTCCTGACTAATACTCATTGTAATACTGCCACACCATAAAAGGTAAAAAAAAAAAAAAAAAAAAAAAAAAACTATTTATGATCTATTTAGTAGACCATGAAATAACTAAAATACATTTGAAAGAAGGTACTAAATACCAAATATGAAAGCACAGAGTTAATAACCAAAAAGGATTCCAAAAAAAAAACAAGCCATTCCAGAACACATCAAAACATCACATTTTACTACTACTGAGTCAAAACACCCTTACTATGGTATACCATGAAATGTCACTTCAAAATATGCTTCCACACTGAAGAGGCCATAGAGTAGATCTCTTCTCAATATAGTATACAGAGTTTATTAAAGTATTACAATCATTTATTTGCCTTTTCATTTGGAAAGCTTTGAGAAACACTGTTATTAATCTATTTAGAAAAAGATATCCCCTTCCTTTTAGAGGCATACCATCAAAGAAATTATTACAAATATCTGTATCATTTAGCTGTCCCTACAGCACTTCACTTTACAGCCAATACTATGATACAAAAGCAACCTAACACTTCACCTTATAATATAAGCCTTCCATTTTCTTCTTCTAATGTTTGCATTGTATTGCTCAAGTTCTAAAAACCTGCCTATGATTTAGGTAGTAGCATTCAAGGATAAAAATACTGTTGATCTCCCATTATAACCCAGTATTAAAAAGAGAAAGTCAATAATTGCTATTTATAACTGCTATCATTTTACAAGTAAACGGATACAAATATTTAAATAAACTGTATAAATATTTAAATCAAAATCCTTAAGCTTCGTTATAGAAGTTAGCTAAAGAACAACCTGGAAGATTTCGATTATTCTCATCAAAATATTCCAGAATTGGGACAACAAATATATTAATATACACACATGGACAGATCAATCTATCTTTTCTGCTGCTTCCCCCAGTTTTACAAATGAGATCCCTTGTAACCAGAGTTTCTGAAAATCAGTCATGTCCATGAATCAAGTAATACCATTAATATTCTCCACTTAATCATCTCCTCTTTCTATAATTCAGTATTTTAAACTAAGATAGTGACAAATGCCAATTTACTTTGCTGGTGAAGTGCCAAGTAGGCTTCCGGTTTAAAAAATAAATTACAACTGCCCTTTACAAACAAATATACAAAATTTCTCATCTCAAAACAGGCTTTCCATTAAGATTTACAGGATAAACAGTGTGCCCTTAAATAATGAAGTACTTGCTGCCAATGTGTGTATGCGCATGTGTGTTTAACGGTCCTTTAATAACTTGTCTTTGGAATGATTCTGTCCTACCTTTGCTGCTGCAGCCCGCCTGTCCTTTGCATCACTGAATTCACACTTCTGGAAGTACCCAATATGCACTGTAACAGACAGATGGACAGATCAATGGGCCACAGCGGCAAAGGCCAGATAGACAGACTTGATAAAAATTAAAATCAAAGTATATAAAGGGAAGGGGGAAACCAAAAGAAAACAAGTCTACTTCTATTTTGTAGTAAAATACCTAAGCTTGACGTCTGTAACCCTCCCACACACGTCCCCCAAATAAACTATTCTTGATTTACATATTATTCCCCGTTGTTTCAAGCAGAAATAGTATCACTGCAATAGACAAAATAAATTAACCAGCATTTTTAATAACACCAAAAGTTACAGATACAACAGGCACTTTCATAACCATATCATACAGTGTCATCAAATAGAGGTTGCTCTTTAATCCACAAGAAACCACTTATCATATTAACGGGAGGCTTTCTACATTAAAATTAAAATGGCAATTATTACATGTCAAAAATTTCTGCTGTAATGCCCAGGTCTATGTGATTAGAGTATACTTGGAATCACCGAATAAAAATCATTTTCAGTATCTTAACATTCTGCATTTTCCGTCTTTCCATGTAAAAATGGTTGTTAGCACCATACCTAGATAAGACAACTTTGGGGGCTTAAAAGAATATGCAAAACTAGTAAGAGTATCTTTAAAAGCTAGGTAGAGTTCTCCTGTAACCTCAAATCCATTCAAACAAGTGTTCATACTTCAAGAAGCTTCTAAGTTTTCAAAACAACCCTTAGTATCTCAAAATGCTGGCTTAAGCCAACATAAACACTGTAGTTTGATAACTTCTTTATTAAACATTACTCCAAATGCCTTTCTCTGCCTTTTAATAATGTTAATAAAAGTTTACATCCACTGAAAAACAAGTTTAATTTAATCAAATGATTTATTTAACATGCATCTAAAACAAAACAGTCTATGCCACATGTTTAAGTAAGTTTGAGGAAAAAAATGTCCCATATACATTCCATACTGTAACCCCTCAAAAACATTAGCAGATAAAAGAGATGTGATAACCAAATGTAATGCACGATCCTTGATTTAATCCTAGATGGAAAGGAAAAAAATTTATAAAAGGTGCTACTGGGCAACTGAGGAAATCTGAATGTGGTCTGAATTTTTTTTTCTGTAACAACCTTATAAGATATTAATTCACATACCATAAAATTCACCCTTTTAAACTGTATAGTTCAGTGGTTTTGAACATATTCAGAGTTGTGTAATCAATCATCAGCTACTATCTATTTTATAACATTTTCATCACCCCAAAAAGAAACCCTGTACCTATTAGCAGTCACTTCCTATTCCCCAGTTTCCCCCAGCCTCTGACAACCACTTACCTACTTTCCGTCTCTATGGATTTGACTATTTTGGACATTTCATATAAATGGTATCATGCACTATGAGGCCTATTGTCACTGGCTAATTTTACCATTTAGTTTTAATTATCTAGGGAGGTCAGCGAACTGAGAGTTTGAAGAGCAACTATTAATAAGTAAATAATTAATAAATAATTAATAATAATTAATAAATAAAGACTGCTTAAAATTTCAACTATTATAACACTCATTTGACAGATGAGGAAACTGAACTCATTCAAGTAACTGATACACAAAGTCACACAGCTGGTAAATGGCAAAGCTGGAACCTTCTATATTACGCCAAAGACCCCACTACTATGCCATGTTGCCTCCTTGAAAAATAATCCACTAACTCTAATTCTACCTCCTAATATGCTGAATGCCTCCCCTCCTCTCTATTCCAGTCCTGCTAATCCCATCATATTTCTTACCCAGATTACTGTCACAGACTTCTCATTACGATCCCTGCTTTCTATCTCACCCTGTTCCCATTTATTCCCTATACTGCCAACAAAGTAGTCTTTCTAAACACTAATCTCATCATATTATTTTAGAAGTTTAAAGTTTATTTCACCTGGTCCTAGGGGATAAACTCACCTCAACAGCACTATGTGTAAAGCCTTTCATAAATTGATCACACTACCTACGGGTCTAGCCTCAGCTCCTATCACTCTGCTTCTTGACAATTTTAGCAACATTCAATTACTTTATCATCCATTCAACATACCAGACCATTAATAGCTGGTCTTTCTGCATTCTACTCCTCCTCTTCCTCTGACTGGAAAGTCATCTAAAACTTCATCCGCCTAGTAAGTTACTACGCATTTGTCAAAACCTAGCTCAGACTACCTCTACCAGGAGGATTTGCCAGTCCTTCCCAGAAATAGCCTTAAAACATTTCTTTGACCTTGTACTTCTACTGTTACACGTATCACTATACTCTAACATACTTAAGCCTACCTCCTTAAAGAGTTGTCCCATATCTGTCAGCTAAAGAAATGCTGGTTGGTAAAAGCAATCAGGTACTCAACTTATACAGTATACTGCTCCCTATTAAACTTTAGCATTATTTTTAAAGATCTATTAACCTCAGAAACTCAAAAAACACAATCATAACAAGATATTTAGGGCCTCACCAGGATAAAAATCAGGTTAGGGAAAAGGCTGGAAGTTCTGCACTTAAAAATGTTAAGAGGTAACACATTAACAATCTTAGTCGTCTCTCTAAGGGAGGGAACCAGGTAGTTGAGGTATGAGTGAAAGAGAGCTATTTTAATTTTTTGTCTTTTGTACTTTATAAAATTTGAGCCTGGCAAATATATGCAGAGTCAAAAACATAAATAAAACTTTCTAAATCCTAAAAAAAAAGTTTACCCACAGTGTAAATTAGAATACCAAGACTGCTTAAAAAAAATTTTTTTTTAAATCAGAGGTTGTAAATGAGAGTCCAGTCTAAGTATTCAATTTATTTCTGTATTATGTTTTGGTTATGTAGAATGAACAAAATCTTGATTCATAAAGATAATTTTGTGTTGCAATTTCAGGCTATTCTTCACCTAAACTGATCCAGAAGCTTGAAAAATATAAAAAACATTTTATTCAGAGCTAATTAACACTGTCTAGCAACTTATTATATATTCATAAATCTAGAGTCAGAGGAAATATACAGAACTCAAGACCCCAAATCCATAAATAATATAGCAACATTAATATGAATTCACTTCTTACTGCAAACACTTGCCAGCGTTCTGTAATGAGGGTATGAACAAACAGGTCAGCCTTAGCCTCGTCTGGCATTTAACTGAACAGGATAGGGAGCACATGGGCTGCTGTAGTGTTCTACATTATATAACTTGCAGAGGCCTGAATCCAAAATACCAGTGCAAAATAATCTTCCTAATTAACAATCCATAAAAAAGTAAAGCAGAAGCTTTATTCTGGATTCTGTATAACAATGAGTTGGCATGGATAAATGCTAATGAATTAGTAGTCTCCAATATGTTACATTACAGAAAGGCTATTTTCAGGAAGGGTTAGAACCAGGTAGGTTCAAGTGAGAAGACAGAGAGAGACAAATACTACCCTCAGTATATGGCAGAACTTTAAATAAGAGCTGTTCGATATGAATTGTGCTGCTTCTGGAATTAGCTGAGAGGTTTTAACTTATAAAATAAAGTCAGCTATTCTCCCCTAAAACAAGGATTTGTTATCTAGAGTGTATCCATAACAATTTCACAGCGCTCTTCTTCCAGAATCTCTTGTTTCTGTCAGAGGGAGAATGATGGGATTTGTGGACCACTGGTCTCAGTTTGGACACCCTGGTAGCATAGTGGTTAAGAGCTACAGCTGCTAACCAAAAGGTCGGCAGTTCCAATCTACCAGGCGCTCCTTGGAAACCCTATGGGGCAGTTCTACTCTGCCCTACAGGGTCGCTATCAGTCAGAATCGACTCGACAGCAACGAGTTTGGTATTTTTTTTTTGGTTTGGTCTCAGTTTAAAGGAGCCCTGGTGGTGCAGTGGTTAAGCACTTGGCTGCTAACTGAAAGGTCGGCAGTTCAAACCTACTAGCTGCTCCGCGGAAGAAAGATGTGATAGTCTGCTTCCATAAGGATTACAGCCTTCAAAGCCCCATGGGGCAGTTCTACTCTGTTGTATAGGGTCGTTATGAGTCGGCATCGACTAGACAGCAATGGGTTTTTTGGGGTCTCGGTTTATAGTTTCATACATAAATTATGAATTTTACATATTTATTATTTTGCATTACACTGTGTTTTTAAATGCTTATATTGGACTAGAAAATTGTAAATATAGTACAATTTTTGCTTGAAATTTTCTTGAGTAGAGGTGCAGTCTGTAAAGTTTCAAATGGGGCGTGCATTACACTGTTGACTCTACTCCACTCTTGTTGTTTATTATTTATTTGGATTCACAAGCCACAGCAATAAAGTTACAAGTCAGAGCTCACTGATGCAGTCTGTACAAGTCAGTCTCCTGAAGCATAGAACAGGGTGAAGAAATGTGGAAAGCGGATCTGGAAAGGCAAACAGAAAATACCCAATACACAAGACATTAACATTCACATGTTTATATTTAATGATATACTGAGTTCCAATTCCAGTTATGAAGACTTGGGCAAGTTATTTAATTCCTCTAAGCCTCAATTTTTCTATCCATAAAATAGTAAAATTACTATCTACTTCACAGAATAGTTGCAAAGACTAAAGTCTGAGATAACTGGTTAAGGGGAAAAAAAATGCTAAAGATAAAAGAGTTAACTCAGAAAAATCTGCAGCAGAAGAATGTGAATAATTTATTTTAAAAAATTAGGATAGTACCAAGACTTACTTTTATCAACAATAAAATCAAGAAGAAAACTCATTCATATTTAATTTAGTCTATTCAATCAATATCCGTTTATCAGCTATGTTCCAGGAACAGTTTTGGGCAATGGGAACACCAAAATTCACACACTGGTCCTACCCTCAAGGATTTCTGAGTCTCACCAGAATAAATAATGATAACAGGCAGATAAAACCCAAGCCATGGAGTTTTTAATTGCCTCATATGCATGTGAAAGCTGGACAATGAACAAGAATTCATGCTTTTGGATTATGGTGTTGGTGAAAAATACTGAATATACCATGGACTATCAGAAGAATAAAC